TAAAATGTCTTCCTTTCTCACATTTCTCAGTACTAGGCCTTATAGATCCCTGACCCACTTGAGTCTTAGGGTCATACAATCAAGAAATTGACCTTGGGCATCATCAAACATCACCAAACCTCTGCACATCACTGCTACTGTAACAATGTATTATCATTTTAATAAATTTACTCATAAATGTATTTTAAATAAAATTTTTTAACAATGTTTGTATTTTTTGTAATTCATCTCTTATTTTTAAAAAATTAAATTCTTGATTACTGAATTAATTTATTTAATAAATAATAATTATAACTTTGATGTGTGGTACCAAACCCATTTAGAAATGTCTAAACTGTCAGTTGTATGTAAAGCTAAGATCAATGGTGAAAAAAGGCTTTGAGTGAGTGAAGCCTGAGAGTCTAGACCAAGATCATCCTTCTTTGAAGATTGTGGACTGGTGCTACAGAATCCCAAACAAAAAAATTATAACAGAAACCATATCACTTGAGGACTAACAATAGCAGCAACAACTAAAATGGATAGCACATGTAACTTGAAGAGAAAATAATAACATAATCAAGATGTTGACATTCCACATTACCTCAAATAAAAGGTTAGCAAGGAAACCCCAATCAATAATAGCAGGAAGGATAATGGCTGCTGGACTTGAGAAACCTATTTTTCTGAAAAAGTGTTTTAAGAGAAAGATTTTATAAATTTCAGTACTGGCTGCTCAGTCAAAGAATACCAAATGTTTCTTTATAAGGAAATAACTAATATTTTCATTACCATTAGTATAATTATTGTTAAATATTTTATAATAAAATTGTAACAATAATGTTATATTAATTATAGTTTGGTTTGTTTTATTTTATGACATATCAATTTTTTCCAGGTTATTTAATGCCAATGTTTGTTATTGTGATAAAAAATAGGTAGGTAGATATACATTTGGTTTGCATGAGTCAAAAAAGTAGAAATAGGTCTGGTTTGCACTAGAATTAAAAAGCTAGGTTCAGTTTACATTTGAGTTAAAAAAAGTAGATATGTCTAGTTTGCACAAGAGACCTATTTGAAATTCATAATTAGGAGTTCTCTATATATTGCTTTTGATTAAGTAATCTAGGTTATGAAATAGAAAAAATTTTAGATTTTCAGAAATCACATCATATAAACATATTTGTTTTGGTTTACAATGAATTTACATAGCAAACTGGACCTCCATTCTAACTTTTATAAAATTTCATAAAATTCCTTTTAGATAATTGTGATCTGGATTGCTTAATCTATAGAGCTATAAAAAAGATTTTGAAAAAAATTATTATTTCTGGCTGCCATGTCTATTGTACAACTTCAGTAAGTATTATTAGTAGCTTCTAAATCAGCATCATATGTTAGTCTGTTTTTTGTTTGTTCATTTTTAAATAATATATATATTTTGAAAAGTAGTAATATAGTCCAGGCCCTGGACTGAGACAATTTCATTATTGTGCATATTTTCAGTATTTAGTAAAATACAAAAAAAAAGCTCTTCATTACACAACAACACAAGCAAAAAGATCAGCCATTTTTCCAACATTTATGCACCCAATTTCATCACTTGTCCAATAATTACAATATAGATATGGCAGAAAATACATTAACACTTACTGCCAAGCCCACTATTTTCTTTTTCTTTTCCTGCTCTCTTTCTTTCCTGTTTTTGACACTCCAACAACAATCTCTGCAATGACTCTTGTCAGATCAATTTTAAATGACTGACCAAAGACAATTCTTGACAAAATTTGCATGGATGACTAGATCCTGGGTTTCTTTGCCTTTAGCATTTCCTACCAGTTCACATCTTCTCATCATTCATCTTTATGTTATCCACTTTTTTTTATTTCTATCTACCCATCCAATCCTGCAGATTTTATTCCACATGACTACAAGATGCTACTCAGAAGTTTGGCAAATTTTTCATGCAAAAGAAAAAATCACATTAATGGCTACTAACATCATCATGTCTTGATCACCCAATAATGAGTGAGTTATGGAAGAAAGATTTATTCTCCCAATTTGTATTTTCACCATTATCTGTATTATTATATCCATGAGATAATAACACCTTATTTCACAAATGAAATGGAATAGCTGAAAGGAATGACAAATATGCTTTGTTCTCAAAGAGACTTTTATGCAACTAAGTCATACACAAAATTATATATACATATTTACATTTGTCCCATGCAGAGAAATTATAACACATGTCTACACAACAAGCAGTGTGAAAAAAGAATAAAAAGATAGGGTCTTACTTATAATAATTCTCAATGAAAATCAGGTCTGCTGGAGATTCTTCTGTGTTTCTGGAGAAACCATATTTAGGATTCCAGATTCAAGTAGGCTGAATTTATCTTCTATGTTCACTAGCAAGGACAATGTAAGCTGCTGGAGTTGGGGTGCAGAGTTAGCCTTAACCCAGGCTCTTCAGCCTGAGCAAAAAAAAAAAAGCAACTACTTGGATTGACTCCTGGAAGCTGACTGAAGGACGGAAAGACCAATTTGTTACTTTATGAAGTTATGTCATTAAGCAGCCATCATATGACTTCATCTAGGCCAAAAGTTGATAATCGCCTTTTGTATCCCTACTAAATTAACACCTAGTTTCTACCAATTTCTTTGAAGTAAACTTCTTCATGATAACACCTGTTTTCATGCTGTAAATGAGATTCGACAAATAATCATGGAGCTAGGATGATAAGTTCTTCTGCATATGCTGTATTTTCTGAACCTGTTACCTTGTGGTTTCAGTATGACTTAACACGTAGCCTTGTATAAATGATACAAAGCAGCCAACCTGCCACCGACATTAAAAAAATTGAGTGGCTGGCAAACACTGAGGAAAATTTAGAATAAATGAAACTGCTAGAAAAAGTCATGTTGAAGTTCATCAGCAGGCAAGAAAAAAGGAAAGAGTAAATATATATGTGAAATAAATATCAAACTAATTTATTTACCATTTTACAAATCATGGTTCCATGATTGCTTAGCGTCTATTAAATATGGGATGAGAAAGGTTCATTCATAATATGTGTATGTGGGAGGGATAATTATAAATTTCAATAACTTTAAAATAAGGTTGTAAAAGTTTTGGTGGCAATATTTTTAGTCTTAAGTGGCATATAGTCTGTAACAGATTGAATGTGTGGCCTCAGTGAGTAAAAATTGCCAGTTTTTATAGCCTTTTCAGAGATGCAAAAGGTTTGACAAACATTTTTATTTCACTTCTAATTAGTTAAAAAGTGTTTTTTGAAACCACATGGTGTGTTTCATGTTTAAAAATATGTAACTTGAAAGTTTATAACCTTTAACTGATGTACAACTTTTATAAATTTTTGCCTCCTTTTCCAGGATCCTATTTTTGCCCAAAAGTTTTGTTAACACAGACTAAGCCTTAGCTTCTAGCATTTACACTCTCACCATACAACCATTCTTGTCTGGCTATCAATTCCTAAAGGTTCAAGATATGAAGAAGTGTCCCAAATTAAAACCAAAATATTTCTTTTATGATATAATGCACAATCAATGCCATTGATTACATTGGAAATTGCTGAGTTTTAGTGATAAGTTACCCTGTTCTTCCAGATTCAGTCTGTTCCTCTGCTTAATTAAAAGTAGAAACAAGCTTCAATCATGTACAAACTTGGGAATGCAAGTATAAATGGCTTAGCTGCTGTATTAATCATAGGAGTATTTAGTATGAAGTCAGCATTAAACCTTTTTGAAAAGACACATACATGAAAAATCCTATCAGCAGAAATAACCCCTTTTCAGTTTTTGAGAATGGTAAAGAGAAAAAACTTGGAGCAGGCATACTGTAGATCCAAAGAAGCTAGTTATCTTTCACTGCAGCTCAGCATTGTGATAGGACACTAAAGTTTTTCTTCAACACATGACCTCTGACCTAGTAATAACAGTTTACTGACCACAAGGTTAGCTGTGGCTTCCTTGACTTCATCAACAATGCACAATCTCTCAATTATGCCATTTACCATCTGGATCATCCAGTGAGTCCAGTGACATGCAGAGGTTTGGGGATGCTCAGAGCCAACTCCTTCATTATATGCCCATAAGACTCAAGTAGGGAGGTGGGGGATAATACTGAGAAATGGGAGAAAGAAAGACATTTTAAATATGTAAAAACAGATGAAATATGAAATAAACACTTTATTCAAATTAAATATAAACCAAATTTATATTTCATTCTTTGATTGGGTGCCCTCCCAATATGGATTCCCTGGGCCGTTACACCCTCTGTCCCCGCTTCTGCATGCTACCGAGTGGACTGTAATTTTTACACTACAAATAGCAGCAAGTGTGAATAGAAAGATATTGATTATCCTAGAGAAACTATTTTCCAGGGCCAACATCATGACAGGATGCTGAAGTTAGCACTCTGTGCAATAGACAGTACCCATCACTCAATTGCTAATTCACCAGCAGAGTAAGTTCAGTTCTTTCCTTCATTATTTACAGAGATGCTTAAGGACATTCCTTCAAATTTTCTCTACACAAAAGATATCACCCCACTCAACAGAAAAATATTTCTTTCTTGTTTTGTTCACTCTTTTGCTTGTCTATTTTCTCAACACTTTTAATATTTGTTCAATACACAACCCCTGACCTTGTATCAACAGTTTGGTGATCACAAGGTCAGTTGTGGGTTTCTTCACTTTGTGTTAATTTTACAAGTATTAATATTACATTACTCCAATAGTCATTAAGGCTTTTACTTTTTAACAATGATTTAGCTTTGAGGTCCACCCACATATCAATTAATTCATCTTATAAGGGAGATTCAGTATCTGCATTTTCTATTTCCAAATCGAACGGGGTAATATTTCAGTCAGGTACAAATATTTTCACAAGGTCCTCAAAACACATTTTAAAGTCTTCCCTTAATTTTTCCAGGTACTTTATATATATATTTAGGTCACAGTCTGAAATTTGTATTTCTTGACATACAAATATGGGCATACAGTCATATCATGTTGAAACACCAGTTCCCATACCATCACTAAAGTTAAGCAACATTGAGCTTGGTCAGTACCTAAATAGGTGACCACTTGGGAATATCAGGTGCTGTAAGCTTGGATGTGCAGGTGGTGTAATGGATAATAGCTCAGAATTGAAAATCAGAGAGCCAAGTTCCAATTCCAGTCAGTTTTGTTATATTCACATATGCACAAATACCATTAGGAAAGGTATGACTCCAACTCTTCTCCCCCCATCTATTAGTAGGACTTATATCATTAAATTATTATTATCTCCAAAAATTCTTACAATCTAAAAATATTTTCTGGCTTTAAATAAACTGCAAACAGTTAATAAGCTGTAGAAAACAAATCAGTCAATCAATATACAAATTTGAGTTTTTGGTTTAAAAAGTTTAATCAATATCTCAGGGTTTATCAATCCCTTTTGACACACAGGTACTTATCAACCCCTTCCCCCCACAATTTATCAAGCTCCTAGATTGTTCCATTGAACCCCAAGGGTTGATTTCAACCATTTATGAGACCTTGGATGTGAAATCAAGGCTTCTGTTAAGCATATACAGGACATTCAGCATATATTCTTATCAGAATAAAGACAGTTTATTAAAATGAGCAAATCTTGTCACACCAGGATGGCAATAACGAGTGACAACTTGTTACTGATAGTGGCTCCACAATCAGCTCATGAGAGCATATCAGCCGGAATGTTGTTTTACCTGATATATATCATAGTATCCAGACAATCCTCCGTCATTGAATTTTATTTTTATTTTTTCCAGTTTCTCTACATTGAACATGTAGTTGATAGCCTATTGATCTGGAACAGTTGTGAAACATTGTCCTGCCAAATAATTAGACTAACTTTTCATGGCCTCTACAATAACATAGGTCTACTTTTCCACCAATAAATAGTTTGAGTGAGAGTGGAGGAGAAAAAAAAGACAGCTGAGTGACACACTTGATTCAACACAACTGCAATAGTCATATTCAAGATATCAGACTAATGTTCACCCTACACAAGGCACAGTCACCCTTCAAGGTAGAGGGTTACAGAGTAAGAGGCACAGTTTGTGGGGAAGATAACAAGTTAACTTTAGACTTGAACAGGTTAAGATTGTAGTGATGCTGAAGTATTCCCATTTGGAATCAGTTCCACAAAAAAGCAGCTTCTTCTCAGAAGCTGCTTGAGTAGAACTTACATCTCACCAGTGGAATATGGAGAAAATAAGAGTGGCTTGCTATGATGCGTGTAGTCATGAAGATTAGAACGGGTGGGACTAAAGAATGTAGTTTGTCTGAACACTTTCCAAGGAAGTAGCAACAGAACAGCAAAAGGCTTTAACATTTTGTTTGTGAGAAAAAGATTGCAGGATGGAAAATAATTATCAAGGGAATAGTCACATCAGTCAAATGTACAACAGCCTTTCTAATCAATTCTTTGAGGTTATTTAAGGGCGTCATAGTTTCATGATTGAGAAAACAGTGTATTAGCAACAAGTAGGTTACAACAGTACAGGTATGATCTACAGATTAATATTGTCAGAGGATGAGAAAATCCAATTTAAGAAAACATATCTGTGAATTAAATAACGGACTCCAACAAGACTTGTGTGTGGAGAGAGAATTTATTTAGCGACCTTCCAACACCAAGTGGTGGTAACCAACTGTCCCTACCCCTGTGTTTCCGCCTCAATCGTACCTCACTCATGGAGAAGGTACAAGGGGAACAACTTCACGTTGATTAACAATTCTTCCCCTTTTTTCTTTTCTTTCTTCTTTCAGATGAACATCTGAAAAGAGATTAAAAAATTTTGAATTTATTAAACAGATGATTCCTTGGGCTCTGATATAAAGCCAAGGATTTTTAAATGATGGTACTCCTTTCTTTGTCAAGGAGTCTGCAACTTGTTCATCAGTTGGTATCCAAGAGAACTCTGCAATTTCCTTTCTGTCCAACATTTCTCTCAAAATGGCCATCTCAATGCGAAGTCTCTTATCCAAAATCTGTGTTGATGAATGTACTGAGTCATAGAGACAGGAATTGTCAGTTTTGCATATGATCTTAATGTTCTCAGTTTCATCTTTTAGCTGCAGTAGTTCCAATAATAGTTTTCTGTAAAACAGGCAGGCTTCTGACATGTCAACCATGGCTAGAGTTTCAGCAGCCAGTGTACTTTTGACCACCCTTCTAATGCGTTTGGATTGCCATGCAATGGGCATGTATTTATTATTATTTCCTACCAAAAGAGTATATAGCCTCCTTGTGATCCTCCATCTGTCAAATTAGCGAAAGAAGCATCACTATATGCAACAATTTTAAATGCTTAAGGTTTCCTAAGTCAGGGATGTCTATCTGTGATTTTTCCTTTTTTGCTTTCTTAACTACTCTATTGGCTTGTTTTATACATTCTACATTTTGTTGTTTTAGAATGGAGCTTAATGCACTAACATCATAACTTAGATCAGGTCTGGTTTGGGTGGCCAGCCAGTTAAGTTGACCAATAACTTGCCTGATTTCAGTAATTTCTGTTGTGGAAATTGTGTCTTTAAGGTTCCTGCCTGCTTCTACCAGAATATATTTTAATTTCTTTACATACTCGTTTTGTCCAAGTTTGATATTCTCATTATTCTTTTTTATATCTAATCCTATGTATTGGAACTCGGCAGTTTCTTCGGTTTTAACTGCAAATACATGACGAAGCCTGTCTATAACTCTGCTTTGAAAGATCTCTGACCCTGCAAAGCAAAAATCATCAACATGAGCAGCAATTATACCTTGCAGTTTGTTTCCAAAATGCCATGTAAATATTGCTTGATCATATTTTGAAGTTATTGCTCCTGACTTCATTAATTCTTCCTTGAGTGTTAAGTACCAGGACCTAGAAGCATCAGTCAAGCCATATACACATTTTGAGAGTTTCCAGATATGGCCCTGAGGTACATTGGCTTCTTTAGGAGGATCCAGATAAACCAGTCGATCCAACTGCTTGCTCTGCAGGAATGCGGTCTTTATGTCCATTGATTTACACATCCACTGGTTAGCTGCCATTATTGCCAGTGCTATGCGTAAACCTTCTTTAGAGCATGTGGGAGAATCATTCCTTATGTTGTTAGTGTCTCTATCTTGCAATCCTCTTGCCACAAGTCTGGCTTTATAGGTTTGCTTGCCATTGGAATTTTTATTTGTGTAAATCCATCTTGTGGAAATTTTTGGTTGACCTTGGTCAGGTACTTGGGTGTACACTTTATTTTCAACCCAGCTTTGGAGCTCTTTCTTTCTTGCCTCTTCCAGTTCCAGGTCATCATTAGAGGAGGAAATCATTATATTTTCCTCGTCACAAGAAGTGTGTTCAAGTTCAGTTTCCTCAACCTCACTTGTTTGTCACTCTGATACCCCATGCTCAAAGTCCAGCCAAAAAGGTTCACCCTGTTCCATAACCACATTCATCAAATGCTTGTTTTTGTCTGTTGCTTTACCTGCCCTACTTATGACATTTAATTTTTTTCATTCTGGATCTGTGTCATTGGCAAGCTTGCATTTAATAGTTTGTCCTGGTTTAGGAAGCTCAATTTTCTTTGGAGTAAAGTCCTGCTTATGTCGTCTATCTCTTGTTTCTACAGTCTGATGTTGCTCGACATTGTTGTTTGTGGTTCCCAAATCTTCGTTCATATCAAACTCTTCAGAAATTGGTACTTCTGGAGATTCTTCAAGCCTTTTCTGTGAGGCACTAGGTTCCTTGATGCTGTCCTTGGAAGAGCTTCGATATGTCTCAGGGTAGGGTGTTAAGCGAGATGGATGTACCCTTACATATGTGCCACCATGTTTGACAAGCACCTGCTTATATTCCCACCCTATAACAGTTCCTGGACCAAGCCATCTATCACACAGGTTTCTTTTATAAAGGACGGCATCACCATTTTTGTATGCTTGTGCTATACCTGTTCTAACTTGGTGATGAAGTGCACGTCTTAGTTTCTCCGAGGACTCACATGCTATGAATTGTTTCCTGGCAGCATGCATAGCATTTAGGTTATCTGCAACAACTTCACTGGTGGAAACACCTTCTAATGCAGGAAGTTTGTCATTTAGAAAGACAGGTAGGTTGGGATTTTTGCCAAAAACAAGTTGATTGGGACTGTATCCGTGAACACTGTGAAGTGTGTTTTTGGCACTTATGGCCCATGCAAGTGCTACCTCAAAACTACAGTTGATATCTTCTTTGGTTTTCTTTACCATTTCTCCCAATATCCCATTGTGTCTTTCATTTAACCCATTGCTCCAAGGACTTTCAGCAGCAGTGGTACGTACCACAATGTTTAAATTTTGCGCCATATCTCTAAATGACTGGTTATTAAACTCTCTGCCATTGTCAGTGAGGATAAATCCCGGGGTTCCAAAATATGCAACCCAGTGCTTGAACTTACCTCGGTCTGGTAGAGGTCTGCTAATAGGGATGTGGTAGTGACCAGATGAAGTACACTGCATTGGGATTTTTCTCCCCAGCATGGTAACAGTGTCATTCTCAAAATTGAGGCATGTCCTGGCTCTTTTCATGGAATTTTTACTTAACAGAAGTGGTATGTCAGAGTTCACAATGTCAGTTACGATACTAACTTCAACATCGGCAATGACACACGGTAGAGTGACTGTGTAGATGGATTTGAGCTTGTTTCCATCACCAAACTTATATGTTCTCACTCCGTCTCGAATTTTTATATATTTTTTTTGTTTTTCTGGTATAGTTTCAAGAAAACACTCATACCATTTCTTTTCACAAACAGGCACCAGAATCCAAGATGGTCGAGCCTAGTGTTTCACCCAAAAACGTGTTAGCGCCATCTTCCCCTTTTTGCTGACTCATCAGCACGAGGTTGGAGACGAGTATGTTTTCAATTTTCATTGTCTTCCTTTTTATGTGAAGTATCTTCTGTGTATGGACATTCGCGAGCCCAGTGGAATTTGCATCCACATGTGAAACATTTAGTGGTGTTTCCTTCAGGTCCTAGTGGGTTTAGATTTTTATCAGTGGAGCGTGTTGAATTTCTGTTACGACCCCTCCTGCCATTACCTCGCCGACCAGAAAAGCGGGTA